CCCTCAAAGTTGCATAATTGACAAATTGAAAGCATTGATGCAAGAGGAGATTGAAATTGCTAACCAAGAGATGAACCAAGAAATCCAGGATTAGAGTTGGGAAACACGTGGCAGGGGAAAAAATGCTGGACTAGAAGCATAAAATCTAGATCCCTAAGTAAAGCGACCTCTACCCCTGTTCTTATTCCCATTATAGGACTGAAAGCCTCTATTATTCACCTAAGATTAACCATTATTTAGAGAGAAACTTGGTGACTAAAAAAGAGCCCCTCATATGGAACCTGTATTGGTAACCATAGCTGTTATAAGAGGATTATGAACTGAAGTGTCAACAATCACTTCTTCTGCAAGTAATTGCGATCTAAGTCTTTCAATGAGATCACATTTTCATGCCCTCTAATAACACATGAAAATAACACATCTGAAGGTGTATATTCAGCAGGTAGACCATTTAAAGAAAGAATAACAATATCTTCATCTGCAAAAAAGACCCTAACCGCAGAAAGACAGTTCCTGGCCTCTTTAATTTGATAAAGGTACTGTGAAATTGAATCTGATCCCTTTTTAATTGTTTGCAGATTGGATTTCATTTGAAAAATGTTAGTCCTAAATACAGTGGAGAATTGTTCCTTCAACTTAGTCCATAGATCCTTAGAACTTATACTACCAATTGCACAAGACATAGCAATAGGTGATAATATGGCAATAATCAATTGCATAATAGCTCGATCATGCATTTTCCATACTATATACTCATCAGTAGGGGAATAAGAAGTAATACCAGATTCATCGGAATTTGAATCATATTAAGGTGGACAAGGGAGCAAACCATCAATATACCCCATAATTCCATTGCTTTCAAGCAACAGTTCCAGCTAAAAGTTCCAATTGAGGTAGTTCGAATCATCAAGTTTGACATTAACTGATGTAGAAATAAAGGGAATGAGGGCTATAATCGTAGATTGAAGTAGCTGAATTTGTGAACCAGTCACCATCATGATTCTTATATCAATCTATGAATGAGACAATATACCAAACACTTGTTATGCACAATTCAGAAAAATTACAAGCCAAGAAATGAAGATTAACACAAAGCACTAGAAACTTCAAATGTAAGCAAAATTGTAGAGCAAGAACAGGATTGAGGTAGAGGTAACAGAAAATGCGGAAGCAATAAAGGATCAAGAATTTAAAGCATGAGCAACAATGTGCTCTGATACCATGTTAATCTTTTATATATATATATATAAAAGACTACAAGCTTGTATATTACTGCCATTAGATAGAGAGAAAATAGAGAGAAGTAAGGAGACTAAATGAATTCCTTTTTGTTTATTCAGCTTGACATCAGTCACACGAGATAATTATTTATATAGTTGTAGTTAACAAACTAATAACCTTCAGCTAACTAACTAATTAACTGCTGTATTATGATTATGACAAGTGTCTCTAACAGTTTGTAGACTAATGGAACATAGCTAAGCTCAAGAAGAGGCTTCTTCACTCCAAACAAATAGTCTAAACAAAAACTCATAATTTTTAAATCAAACTCATATTTTCCTAAATAATTCCACAAGCTTAATTGTATATTGTAGTCAATTGAAGCTATTAAAAACCCTCATTAAGCTTGGAAGATGATGTAACCAACAAAGTTTCTCAATTAAGTACTATTGCAAACCCTAATTGAGAATATCTCCGCTGCTAATGATAGATTTTTTTAAGCCAATGTTTGAATTAAAGGAGCCCTTCTGAAAGTTCAGGTATTCCTTTGATAAACAGTTTAGAACGAAGTTAGTACAAAATCTTTTCTCTATCACCGGAATTTATTGTCTGCCACATAAACTTCGTGTATCTTTTGCGGTTTAGATTTGAAAAACTTCATAGTACCTTTTTATACATCATAAATTTTATAAGAGTGTTTGGATGAAAGTTTTAGATTACTAGGATATTCAATGTTGTTTACTAAGTATACTAGACTCACTGCTTTTGTAATGGCTCAGAATGATGCAAGACAAATTTAAAAGATTAGTTTGGAGACTAATATTCACCATCTTTTATTGAGTTGCTATTTGGTTGTATATTCTAGGTTCAAACTCCATCTATACTGGAAATGAACTATTAAAATCTTCTGATGACATCAAATTATGGTGTACTAGGAAATTTTAGGTAGTTTCTTTGTTTTTGTTATAGTAGATTAATTTTTTTCTAAGTTTATTCCTTTTTTTCTTCTCTTTTTTTGTCATGTCAGTGTATTCTGCTTTGGCTATTGGTTTTATAACCTTTTCAATGTGCTCTTGATGATTATTAAAAAAAAAAAAGTTTGGAAGATGCTAATTGAGCCAAAAAAAATTTTTTTTTGTATTTTTAGCTTAATTTTAGATTTTATATTGTCTTTTATATTTGACTAAGGATTCTTAATAATTTTGTACCTTGTAAATGAATATTTGTAGCTTATTTAAGGAGTTGCAGATTAGGAAAAATAATAATAATAATAAAATATGAATTAGATTTCTTGTGGTGATAACGTAACCCTTGCCAAAAACAATTTTGTCTCTCTTTTACTTGCTATCTTTTTGTGTTGTTATTCATCCATGTCATTAGGGTAGGGGTCGGGGTTGAGCCGTGATTCTTTCAATCTCTTAGCTCATGTTACAAATCGCTTCCAGGATTGAATGTTAAAGGCAACATTTAAAAACTCAGAGTATAGTTCGAGAAAAAATATCTAAAGTAGAACCTTTCAGTGTTTCCTCACTCGGTAAAACCCAAATGGTGACTCAAACCTTCTTCTGTTCCTTGTTTTCCCCAGTGTTAAATTTCTGCCATCACATCTTCCAAGAAAATGAAAAGATCCATATCGACCAAGCAAGGCCACAACCTTGAGTATCACTGTGAAAAGATCTAAAAGATTATCAGTAAAATTCAAGAAACTCCCAGATGAATTAATCCTCAAAATAGCAGCTACCTGACTCGATACAAGAATTTCCATCAGTTGCATGACAATGCATCATCTTTGATTAGATGTACCTGTCAAGCTTGAAAAAGTTAACACTTCCTATTGAAGTCCTATCAGACTCCATTATATGCATACTAATTGAATATATAGAGTGTAAGAGCACAAAAAACACATATATAGAGCACGAGAGCACAATGTATTGACTGTGATTCGAGAATAGAGAGACAAGCCTTGCTAATGGGCTTAAGTTGATTGAATTTAAAATTAACGAATAAGATTTTCCTCATAGGATAATGATTAGTAGAAAGCACAACCAATTGAATTCATTCTACTATTAAAATAATAGAAGGCTACAAATGTTTTGTGTAATGTCTTACGGTTTCTTTCGCTGTTCATTAACAAGTTCAGAATTATTTATGTTGAATTTGGTTTATATTTCAAGATAGAAAAGACATGTACAAAAAGAATAAAAACATGTTTGGTATTTGGTTAGAGGGACAAATACATGAATATTAAAAAAAAAATTGTTTCTGAGACAGTTTTTTAATTAAATTATGTCTTTTTAAAACAAAGAGGATAAGAGAATATATCCTTTGTCTTTTTTATCTCGAAATAATAATCAATCACTCCCTTACTATATGAATTAAAGAAAAAAACCACATCAATCACCTAAAGGAATATACATAGATTAAAATGTGTCTATAAAAACCAAGAATTCATCAATCATAAATTATCAACAAAGAAAAAAAAATTAATAAATATGAAAACTAAGCAAAAAGAACCCACCAATCCCAAAAAACCTAAACAAAATTAGAGAGGAAAATTCAATGTATGAAAAAATTGAAAACAATAAATATGAAAACTAAAGCTTTAGGGTTTGAAATCTCAATAACCAGAACGGCTTGAAATCACAAAGCTACTCATTATTTTAGGATATTGTGAACTTTCTAAGGGTAAGAAATGCACATGCTGTCTAAATTTTTGCAATCCAAATAAAAATAGTAAATCGTTAGTCAAATTCTTGCATTCTTGTACTACGAGGATACATTTGGTTAGTGTCTCGAGAATGGAGGAACGTAAAGAATAATAAAAACATATTTACTTGAAAAGACCGATGTTTTTAAACCGAATTTTGATTGAATTATCCGATTTTGGTAAGATTATCAGAGTAAACCTTATTTTTTTATAAATTAAAATAATATTATTTTAATAAAAAAAAAAAAAAAATTAATAGCTTACGATTAGGTTTCTGACCGGATCTTGCCAGATCAACCAATTTAGATTAGTCAGGTTTTTAATTATTTTTATTTTTTTCATAAATACAACCTGATTTTAGATTTAGGTTTCAAGTTAACCCGCCATGTCAAACTGGGTTTTAAAACTAAAAAAATAAAAAATAAAAACATCTAATAAATTAATCTCTATGACACTTTTTAAAATAAATTATTGTTCTTTCAAAACAGGAATTGTAAAAAGACTTGTTCTTTCTGCTTCTACTGTTTTCATCTTTCACATCTTTTCAAATACTATATGATTTTAAAAAATATATTTATTTTATTTTATTTATTAAAAATTTAATAAAAAATTTAATTTATCCTATATATAATGTTTTTATATTTAAATTAAAATAATAATTTTCAAAATAAAATGATCGTCAATAAAACCTAGCCCCCTTTAATCTTATGTTTATATTTATTTTATTTGATTTGAATTGCTTAACACATGTGACATCATTTCAACAGTCAATCTTATCAAACATATAAAATAAAATAGGCATGCTTATATACTCCGTGAAAGAAAAAGAAGCCGTGTTCACTAATTTCAAACCCTTCTTTTTCTCATAATTTGTCATAAATCCAAGTATATAATGTAACAACTACCATAAGATTTGGCATTTAACAAAAACATATAATATAAATTAATTAACATCAAACATGAGTAAACAAAATCAAGAACTTACTACAAGAATTATTACTGTGGGTACTGAGATCTCTGTGTTTTACAATACCATTACATATCACCATCATGATCACCCAATCCGTCCAACAACTCCTTCGCATTTTTCTCCCTGACAAATTTTTCATGATGTAGTCCATTGTTGGTTACGAAAAACTTCGATCGATAAACCAGCCACACCTGCTCCTGAATCAAGTTCTCCTTATCCGAGTTGTTCTTGTGCCAATAAACAATATTCTGAGGATCCTCGAGCCAGCTCTCGTTCACTCTTGAATTCGAAATCGAATCATGCAACTTTGAGACCTGTTCTATTGTTATAAGAACTTTCCCAGATCCAAGCCCATAATTCTTAGCACTCATAATCACCAATGTTTTCAGTTTTTTTGGCCGGTGAGCTATCATTCTCCAGTAAAAGTCTATTACCAAAGAACTTTTGATGGTAGCGTGTTTCTCTTCGTCAAAATCATGAGACAGCATAGCTCCCTCGATAGTTGATAACGTTCCAACCTCAAATGCCACGCATGTATCAGTTTGAGAAACATAGCCCTCCCATGTGACCGTCATCTTGGTGATGTTTCCATAAACAGGTGGCTCTGAAGCTGGATGGCAGACCTTGACTTCTATAGATTCCAGATTTGCAAACACCTTAATGATAGCAGGGAGGGAAGATAATGGAGTGTGGTAGTGATGTTCTGAGCATGCAAGAAAATGACCATTCCTCGAGAATCTGAGGGTGAGATTGACAATTTTGTAGACATAGGAAGCCCATTTCTTGCTGACAACGGAGCAACGAATGAGTGTCTTGGGGTCATCTTCCATTTTTGAAAAGATTTTGGTGGTCAATTCATCAGGTAAATTCGTGAACTTGTCTGCTAATCTTGCTGACCTTCTCAACGGGAAATCTTGATTTTGGCTTTGTTGGGTTGCTTTTGATCTCTTCATTTTTTTCTTTTTTCTTTGGAGATGAAATTGCGGAGTTTGTAGTTGGTAGGGCTTAAGTTTGACAAGATTTCGATTCCTATGAGAGGGAATTTATGGAAATGGTGAACGGCACGATATTTTAGTTTCCAACATAGGTAGACGAGGATTTAATAGACATTTGCAATTTTTCTAGTTTCCACAACTGTTATTAAACATGGCCGAGCCTGTAGGTCGCTAACTTGGAACTAGCTCATGCGAGGTTTCAAATTAATTGGGAGTTATTTAGTCAATTTAATATATTTAATTTTAAAAAAAATAATTTTAAACTTTTTAATTTAAAAAAAAAAAACAAAAAAACATTATTTAAAATTGATTAGAGTTATGATTGGATCAAATACCTTTTGGGTTTTTCTTTTTAATTTAAATAGTATTGTTTTTGTTTCAACGTATTCAAACTCCATTTCAAATGTGTAAAAATCATTTGAATTTAAAATTAATGTATTTTCTTTATTATTCCAAAAATTTTGTAATTGTTTTTTAAGTTAATTGGAGGATCAGTTGAGCTAGAACCATTACTTGCTTGTCAAAACTTATCAAAAGCTAAATGAAACACCATTTGTTTAAACTGAAGAACTGGATCGCTCTTCTAGGCATGGCATGTCACAGAACTTGGGTTCCATTGTGTCTGCATGTATGATTTCAGTCTCATATACTCACAAGAAATTATTGAAAAATGAAAACATGTAAGAAAACACGCTGAGTGGTATTATTTTACATTAAAAATGGGAAAAAATATGTGCATGTAAAATAAACTTGTGACCTAATAATCTAATGTTAGTGCATCTCCTTGAATACAAAAAGCTCCTTAACAAATTGGTATTAAAATCAATGGTTCATTGAAGGGTGGGCTAGGTTTACATATAAGAATGAGATTTATTAAATGCACATGTAAAAAAAATGCTTATATATAAGATAAGGTAGATTAATCATCCAATAGCCTAGGTGTTACAGTGTTAAATGTGCACGGAGTGCACACCTAAGGCATGCTGTCCAATACCAGGCCTAAGGGTGCTGGCAGCCATGCCAACGATGGGATAAATTAGCAGCGCAGATTTATGCGGCTATAAGTTTGTCAAAGGGAACATCGGCAGCACAGAATGCTGGGCTTGATGATGGAATGTCCAAGCCAGAATGAAAGACTCGTCAGTGGCATAGGCTGGCGAGAACTGGGGCTGTCGAGAAATGCGGGGTAGCGCAGGATGTTGACAAACATAGGCTTGGCGATGGAATGTTCAAGCCAGACAAGGAAACTCGTCAGGGGCATAGGCTGGCGAGAACTGGGGCTGTCAAGGAATGCGGCAGCACAGATTGATTCAAGCCAGACAAGGAAACTCGTCAGGGGCATAGGCTGGCGAGGACTGGGGCTGTCGAGGAATGCGGCAGCACGGATTGGTGATGTCTATGGGCTTGGCGATGGAATGTCCAAGCTAGACAGGAAAACTCGTCTGGGATATGGGCGGACAAGAATTAGGGCTGTTAAGGAGTTCAGCAGCGCAGACACTAGGAGCCTGCGCGCAGATGGGAATTCGGCAGCGCAAGATTTGGCTAGCTTGCACGCAGATGCGAATGCGGCAGTGCAGACATTGGGGCCTGCACGCAGTTGCGAATTCGGCAGTGAAGGAATTGGGGCCTGCACGCAGATGCGAATTCGGCAGCGCAGGAATTGGGGCCTGCACACAGATGCGAATTGGGCAGTGCAAGATTGGGCAGCCTGCACGTAGATGTGCATTCGGCAGCGCAGACATGGGGTCTGCACGCAGATGCGGATTTGGCATCGCGGGATTTGGCGACTGTACCCAAGGTGTGCACTTGGCAGCGCACAAGAGCTTGCGCAAGTCAGGGGCTTGACTTGGCAAGATCAAAAACTTGGACGAAGGACTGTCCAAGGCATGTGGGTGATTTAGCAGCAGATGAAGCTAGAGCTGGCAAATGGAGCTGCCAGGCAAGCATGCAGAAGGTGGGAGCATAACTGGGGTGTTTCCAAGTTGCTGAAATCATGAAGCACATGGGGGAGGAAGTTCTCCACTATATCCTGGAAATAGGGATATGGGTAAGCCACAAATGATCATGGAGATCATGGGGGAGTAAGTGCCTATTATGTCCTGAAATATAGGGATCATGGAGGTGCCCTGCAGCTCACATACTTGGCTATAAATGGTGATGGTAATTCTTTGTTGTATAGGGAGAATACATAGAGAATAGAATGCATAGAGAGGAAATAATGTATGTAAACTTATTGGTGTAGCATGCGAATTCTGTGCATAGCACACGTTATGTAATCCTTTGTTGATGAGATAAATAAAGGTTGAGAGGTATTCTTGTATTCTCAGTGTGCTTGGTTAAGAGCAATTCTACTTGTGTATTCCGCTTGTCTTTAACATGGGAAAGTGGGGAAACCTCTCGGGTGAGGGAAACACTTAGTTAATAGGCAAACACGAGTGGATAGACAAGGGAAGGCTGAGTCTAGCGAGGGACTAGGCTGCCGCACGGGTTTATTCGCATAGCGAAAAATTACCCCGTGACAACTGGTATCAGAGCACGGTTGCTTTCTTGGCAGAACAGTGAGAATGATTCTGTGGCCAAATCAACGGACTGATTTGGGAGGGCTACAACTTATGCTGACGGAGAGACAGATTTCAGTACAATGATCAGCGATGAGAATGCTGTTGATTCTCTAGACAAATCAATGAGACTGGTTTGGGAGAAACATTGTTGCTGCTGATGGACTGGCAGAAACTTGAGGATAGAGCGCCGTTTGCGTTCATGACAAAACGATGGACTGTTTCGTAGCACAGATGCTAAAGGGTTTTGTGGGGCAGATTTGCTTGAAGCCATTTTGAGGAAAACTTGCGAGCGGGTTTTGGGCAGGGTTGATGTTCAAAGACTTGCGGAGTTGGGTGGCTTAATGAATTTATGGGTAACGCAAAGTAATGACAAGGGATCAGATCAAAGTGGATGCTAATTCGGCCATTGAAATGTCAATGGAATGGCAGACTAAAGAACAAGTGCCAGCGATGGGATTGCTGGGAGTTTCTAAGTTTTTGTCGAAACCTAAAAGGGAAGGGTGAGATGAAATAGAAAGGGCAATTCAGTGGGAGAGAGCCCAAACTTGCTGTTGATGATGGAAGGTCAGACGAGAAGGCAAATTGGTAAGGGTTCAAAACTGAATTTACACTAATTTTCTCTTGCAATGGAAAATTACTTTGTATGGGATGGTTGCCCAACAAAGGGAAACCTTGATGCTGTCAGTGTGGAAGATGGTATTGGGGTTGTGACATGTGCAAATCTTATGTGTTTGCTTGATGACCGAGATAGAATTCAGTCGTCATGGGCCAGCATATCGGTGAGGATGCTGTCTGGCCCTGCTTGTTGCCTTGTAGGGGCAGAACTTGGGGATTTTTGTGCATCATCTTGACGAAGGAATGATTAGGGTGTGGGAAGCAAAATCCGATGATGAAGTTGATGAAGACTTGGTCGAATGGCAAGACAAATTTGCGAAGATTTTGGTGACTTTACTGCCTTGGGGGAGGTAGAATTGGTGTCTTCGAGGGAGACCTTGATGATGGACAATGCAGGGTGAAGAAGACAGAACAATGGCAGAGATGGGCTCTAGTCATGTTGGGACCAAGATGGGAGAGTTTCATACCTATGATGATGGAGAGATCATGGTTTAACTCTAGGTGTGAGGATGCGCCAAAGAAAAACATACTGCATAGAATTCAACAGCGATGGATTGCGGTAGTCTGGCATAGGCTGAGATGAATTCGGCAGGAAGAGTTGGTTGTTGTACAATGGACAAGTATGCAGTATTGCAATTTAATACTTGTGGTATCGGGAATTCGAGGCACCTTGACGAAGAGGACAGATTGAGGTGAAGAATTCGGCAACCAAGTCATTGAGGGATTTGGTTGAAGAGCTGAACTAGATGGACTTAGTTTGGTGTGTTGCTTTGGAGGGGAAGCATCATAGAGGAGGCAGTACCGTGGGTGTATGTCTCAAATCATAGAGGAGGCAGTACCGAGGAGGCAGTATCGTGGAGGTGTGTCTGAAGAGTCTGCACATTGATGAAGAACTATCTAGGTGACAGATTCAACAGCCGATTCAGTGGGCTCGGCTGAGAAGTCAAGATCGTCGACGAAGATGATTTTGAGTGCTGTCTTGGAGGCAGTACGGGTGGCTATTCTATGTTTTGCGACAATGGATGGTTGCAGTGATAGAAGCAAAACGCTAGTGGCCTTTGTTGAGATACAGTGTTGTGAGTTTTCGGTGGACGAAACATGCAGCGAAGGTGGAAAACAATAAGGGCTATTTTGCGTTAGCGAAGTCTTGTGGGGGTGATGAAGTTTCGGGGGCATGACAGTAGTGCATGGGGGAACCAGGTCAAACCAAATTTTGATGCTGGGATGCTATATGTTTGTGCTATGGTAGGTTGCAGATGGACTGAGGACCTTGCCGAAACACTTCGACATGAGATGGAGTTGATCAAAGGATGGAGTTGGTACTTGAGCCAATTGCAGTGTCTCATTTTGGTTACTTGCAGGTCAAATATGAAACAGTTGAGGAATGATAGGTTCATATGGGAGTTCTTATGATTCTTTGGCGGGGGTTTTTGTATGGCTGTATTTTGTGAAGGAAGGGACGGATTCCTTGGGTGCTAGATGCAGCATCCAAACTTTGCGAAAACATGCTTGCAAGTATAATGGGTTTAACATTTGTGGAAAACCAACGAGCCAAAAATAGAACGTGTCACAGTTTGGCTTTGAAACAGGTTGATGAAATTCGGTGGATAGAATTGTTGTTGAATGTGGACGAAGCCAGAGAGAGACTTCATGGGGACATACATGGAGGATGACAAGGAACAGATGCGGAGCAAAGGGTACTTCAAATCTTTCCGACGAGGGCATCGGGTTCTTTTGGTGGGGGTGGTTTGTTACAGTGTTAAATGTGCACGGGGTGCACACCTAAGGCATGCTGTCCAATACCAGGCCTAAGGGTGCTGGCAGCCATGCCAACGATGGAATATATTAGCAGCGCAGATTTATGCGGCTGTAAGTTTGTCAAAGGAAACATCGGCAGCACAGAATGCTAGGCTTGACGATGGAATGTCCAAGGCTATAAGTTTGTCAAAGGGAACATCGGCAGCACAGAATGCTGGGCTTGACGATGGAATGTCCAAGCCAGAATGAAAGATTCGTCAGTGGCATAGGCTGGCAAGAACTGGGGTTGTCGAGAAATGCGGGGTAGCGCAAGATGTTGACAAACATAGGCTTGGCGATGGAATGTTCAAGCCAGAGAAGGAAACTTGTCAGGGGCATAGGCTGGCGAGAACTGGGGCTGTCGAGGAATGCGGCAGCACAGATTGGTGAGGTCTATGGGCTTGGCGATGGAATGTCCAAGCTAGACAGGAAAACTCGTTTGGGATATGGGCGGACGAGAATTGGGGCTGTTAAGGAATTCAGCAGCGCAGACACTAGGAGCCTGCGCGCAGATGGGAATTCGGCAGCGCAAGATTTGGCTAGCTTGCACGCAGATGCGAATGCGGCAGTGCAGACATTGGGGCCTGCACGTAGTTGCGAATTCGGCAGTGAAGGAATTGGGGCCTGCACGCAGATGCGAATTCGGCAGCGCAGGAATTGGGGTCTGCACGCAGATGCGAATTGGGCAGTGCAAGATTGGGCAGCCTGCATGTAGATGTGCATTCGGCAGCGCAGACATGGGGTCTGCACGCAGATGCGGATTTGGCATCGTAGGATTTGGCGACTGTACCCAAGGTGCGTACTTGGCAGCGCACAAGAGCTTGCGCAAGTCAGGGGCTTGACTTGGCAAGATCAAAAACTTGGACGAAGGACTGTCCAAGGCATGTGGGTGATTTAGCAGCAGATGAAGCTAGAGCTGGCACATGGAGCTGCCAGGCAAGCATGCAGAAGGTGGGAGCATAACTGGGGTGTTTCCAAGTTGCTGAAATCATAAAGCACATGGGGGAGGAAGTTCTCCACTATATTCTGGAAATAGGGATATGGGTGAGCCACAAATGATCATGGAGATCATGGGGGAGTAAGTGCCTATTATGTCCTGAAATATGGGGATCATGGAGGTGCCCTGCAGCTCACATACTTGGCTATAAATGGTAATGGTAATTCTTTGTTGTATAGGGAGAATACATAGAGAATAGAATGCATAGAGAAGAAATAATGTATGTAAACTTATTGGAGTAGCATGTGAATTCTGTGCATAACACACGTGTAATCCTTTGTTGATGAAATAAATAAAGGTTGAGAGGTATTCTTGTATTCTCAGTGTGCTTGGTTAAGAGGACTTCTCTCGTTGTTTTCCGCTTGTCTTTAACATGGGAAAGTGGGGAAACCCCCTGGGTGAGGGAAACACTTAGTTAATAGGCAAACACGAGTGGATAGACGAGGGAAGGCTGAGTCTAGCGAGGGACTAGGCTGCCGCACGGGTTTATTCGCATAGTGAAAAATTACCCCGTGACACTAGGCTTCTAACCCTTTGGGTTACAGAAACCTAAACACAAGATTATTCAACAGAAAAAGGTCTACAGAGCTCTTCTGTTCTTTACGGTGTTGAAGAACCATTGAATTCATAATCAAACATTATGCAATCAACCCTTCAGCCTTGTTGGTACATGGAGCTCTTCATCTGCCATTTGCACTCTGCAGCGAAACAAAACGTATTTCTCGTCCACAGGGTGGCCGAACAGACGAGGCAAAGTATGAGCAACACGTATTGGTGAAACTGCTGAGAACAGAACGACTGAAATTGCGCTGCGCTGTAACCATATTTCTTAAATTGACAAGTATACTGATGCCATCAACATCCACAACTCCATCGCCATAATTGTACAGTGAAAACAATTACAGTTGCTGTCACCTCATCACCCTTTACCCTTACTTGACAACAGGAGACCAAAACCACATGCAAGAGTGGTATTCAACTGTGTTCGAAATTGAGAGGTGGAAAACATCTTTCTTGTTTCACTCTCATCACTCATTTTTTGCCCACATAATATAGATTGGAATCATCTAAAACACATGAAAAATCTGGAGTTGATGAATATCAACAAAGGAAGCTCAAGAACAAATAATCAGAAAAAAACACTGAGCATTTTCCTGTGCCTCGCGAAATCCGCCATCAAGTTTCTCTCCCCAAAATTTTGCATCAGTTCATCGACCATATTGGTACATAAAACAGTTCACCAACCACCTGTGCTCTGCAGAGAAAGGGCATCATCTGTTACAAAGAGTGGCAGAGCAAGCAAAGCACAGGATAGCGCAACAAGAACAAGAAGACCAGCATTGCCCACACCACAACCATAATTCTCAAACTGAGAAAAATTATAATTAATCTCATCTCCCACCTTCTCTAGCTTGCCAACAAGAAAACCAGACCCAAATGCATGCAAATGCAATATTCAACAGCAGAACCATGCATCTTCATGATAACAAGAATAATTAATTATAGCAATCCTAAATTAGCCATACATACAGAGGCTTTCCAAATAAAAGCCTTATGTAATCATAATCCATTATCAAGACTGATAGGTAATAAAACTAACCAAAGCATTCAAACTCAAACTGATACGATCTTTAGATATAAATGCAGTCCATAATAAGAATATGCTTATATATGAACAGTAAATCAACCCTAACACAAACAAGTTAATACCAATATAGAAAGGACCAGAATTAATGGACAAAATAAAAAAGAAACAGAACTTTCCTACAGTAGCATGATTGGAGACAATAAGAACACGGCAAAGAGACTAACCAGAACAAGAAAATCAAAGAACATGATAAACAAGAAACCAAAGACCTTTTGGTGATTTCCCCATGGATCAACTTATCACGACCTATAGAAAGGAACCAAGCATTACCTCGTAAGAAACTACCACTGATTTTGTTAACTACAAGAGAAACAAAAATACCAGTGATAACTCGCAGCTGAATGATAGACTTCCTAACACTTATCTACAGCAATTCTAAATGATAGACAATCCATGCCTCTTCTCTAAGACAACAAGCTCATATGCCAACCCATTCACTCAAAACTCAAATATCAACCAAACTTGCCAAGCCCTTTTATTTTTCTATAAAACCCTTGCATCGTGATCCTCCAAACTCCTACATCTGCCAACCATAAATCACCAAGCTCCTTGGCCCTTGAGGCCAAATCAACATATTTTGTTAAGAAAGAAATGTGGTCGATGAGAAGGAACCTTCCATAGCATCAATTTTCTCCCGATACAATATTCTTTATAATGATATTTTTTTTCAATGGAGTGTGGAAATAGAGAGAGGATCAGATTACATAGGGTGTATTGAGATCCTCTTATGATAAACCCTATATGATCAAATTCAAAACAAATGCACATCTTGAAATGGAAAATAAAATTATTTAATATTTTTCCTTGTATATAATATAAATCATTGAATTCAAACTGAGATCCATTTGATTACTTGACATCTAAGTATTTAGAAGAAAAAAAATTGAAATGTCACCAAAGGCAACATACGTGTCTTTTTCTCCTAGTTCGTATAATTAATAACAATAATACATAATTAAAGAGGTTAAAGTTCTAGAATTTTGCCAATGAGCATCTAGGTAAGTTTGCATTTGAAACTCATGTCCTCTTTCTTCAAAAAGGTTTCACGTCGAGCTATTTCTTTATAACGCTATTTCTTTATAACAAAAGGATAAAAAAGGGTAATGATTAAAACATAAGAATGAAATTTTAAAGATACTTTCTATATTTAGAGTGCAAATAGTTTTTTAATAACTCATTCAAGAACATGGAAAAACCATTTTATAATTTACATGTTAATACATTTTAAATCAAATGGTTTTTCTAAAAAAAAAAAAAAACAAAAGCGCTTGCATGCCTGCTTAGGCCTGGGAGAAAAGGTAGAAAGCTTGGATTTTTTTCTCTTAATTTAAACCCAATAATAATAATAATAATAATAATAATAATAATAATAATAAATAAATAAAATAAGCACATCTATTTTGATATAAAAACAGATCATGATCAAAATAAAAACAGATCATGATGTGATATAAACAATCTAGTGCACCCAAATAATATATATTTACAACTTGCAACCATACTTGTAATCAGAAAAATGGAGGTTTGGATCACTCACACACACATATATAGATTTTTGATGATTCTAAATTCATGTTATAGGAGAGAATACTGACCCTATTTTTAAGACACCTAATATATAAATGGATTTGGTCGTGCTATAGCACATGAAAAATGGTTTAGCTTGATATGATACAAGGCCAATTTCAGCATTGGCATTTCATAGAACGTTACCACACCTTAATACTATCATAATTCACAGCCAAAGTTGAGGTCAAGCTCCTCTTCATTCCATTCAAATAATGCATTAAGCCATGGACAAAGTGAACAAATCTCACCTCAATTGTTCTTGGTAATGGCCAACTATTCAAGTTTACTGTCCATTCCAATATTATAAATTTAGGAAGTACTTAGTGACTTGATAAACAAAGGAAGCTCAACAAAAGAGAAAAAGGAAAACTGGAAGAGGTAAAGCCTTTTTTCGTGCCTTGTAGGGTTCTAGATGAAGATTCTGCAATCACTGAACCACAATGGTACTTCAAGCAGCTCATCAATCATCTGCACTCTGCATAGAATGAAATGCTTATGGCTCAAGCAGTTGCAGAACAAATACAGACAAGACAGCCAGATCAAAAGGGCTAACTCTGTCCCGTACCATAACTGTAGTTCTCACTATTACAAAGGAAATAATGCGATCAGAATTCACAAGTGATTGTCAATGCCACCACCATGCATCTTGATAACAAGAATTAATATAGTTCAAGATCGCATGGCAGTAGATACTACAAGCAGACATATTCTGAATAAAACATGATGCAATCATAATTCAGTACATCAAAACTTTTTAAGTTATCAATAAGCCATAGAATAAAAAAACTGAAATTGAAACTAAAACTACATATTCATATCCAAATGCAACTTATAATGAACATATGCAGAAAGATCAAGGTAACCGATGGGCAGTTTGAAGCAGTCCCAGGAATGAGACAGCAAAACAAGCAGGTTGACACTAACATCAATAAGAAACAGATTGTATGGACAAAATTAAAACAAAAGGGAACTCACCTCCAACCGTATGATTGGAGATCAAACAAATCCATGCTAACAGAAAAACCCTCACATGAAAATTAATACATGATAAGCCAGAAAAACTAACTTTGGCCATATGCCAATCAATCAATCATAGCACAAATACATTACGGAGAAAACAATTACCTTTGAAAGAGCTACCACTGACTTTGCCACCTATGAAAAGAACAAGAATTCAGTGAGAACTCAGAGAGCAAAAGGGTTACAATTGTACTGTAGAAAGGAAACCAAATTAAATAGAGTTAACAAAATATGATTGGATTCAATACATCTGTACAAAACATCGCTGTAAAATCTTAGCATGTTTCTCTGCTGATAAAATGAATTGACAATCAGGAAATATATTGGATCTATCAAGGTTAAATTACATAATTCATAAAGGGCTGAGGTTATTCATCTTCACTATGACATCTTATGTGGTAATTGTTTCATCTTCTTCAATGGTTAAGTTTTAAACATAGAATATACCGATATATTCTAAGAAGGAAACAGGCAAGCAGAAATGTCAATTGTCAAGGAGCAGTGCAATCAGCTGCATTACTTAACTAGAAAAATGAAGACTAAATTGAACCGCATTCTCAACAACTATCTAACCATTTTGCATTCAACTACAACATTTCCAATTAAACTACTGTATACCTTCACAAATCACACTATCATATACCCTTGCTAAACATATTTGAACAAAGAGTAAAACAAATCAGAGAGAACAATGCCAATATTAATAAAGATGCAAACTAATGTTAAGAAAAAACTAAAAATTCAAGCACCATATACCTTCAAGAAGTTAATTTCCATCTCCTCATTGTTGCGTATCATTATAACCATAAACACTCAAAAACTCCTTCACATCACCTTCTCTCACAACTAGCTCATTGCGCTCCTCCCATGGCCATGGCAATTCTACACGACGAACAGCCCACATAATTTCTCTAAGACAACGATGCTCATCGTTAAGTGGATTCTTAAGCCAAAAAGCCACATTGCTCGGGTCATTAAGCCATTTAACCCAACTCTCATAACCCCTCAAACTTGAAACCACATCAGCCAACTTTCCCATCACTTCTTGTCTAACAAAAACATCCCCTTTTGATCCAGACCCCTGCATCTTCGCACTCGAAATCACCAAGCTCCTCAGCGTTTTCGGGCAATGCTGTAATATCGTATTAACAATGAGAAGATTCATTTCAACCACGCCAGTATTCACAATCTGGGGCCTCAATTTCAGAGGTAAATCTCCGCTTGTGCGAGTCCCAGACAAGAACCCAACTTCGAAAGCAACTGTTATTTCGCAGTTCATATAATCATCGTCATCATTATGACGCAGGAACTTCAACCTGGACATTTCTCCATCTTCAGAAGACGGAGAAGGGCATGGACAGATATTAAGTTGAAGAAACTTGAGATTTGAAAAAACCCTTATGATACCAGGAACGACCGCTTGTGGGATGTGGTTATGTGAATGGAAGCATGGAAGAGAAGCATAGTCCTCATCAGGATACGATAATCTGAGGGAGATACTGTCAAATTTGGAGATGAGAGAATGCAAGTTCTTGGAAACAGAGGAACAGCGTATGAGAGTTTTGGGGTCTTGTCGGATTTTGGACAGGATTTTAAGGATTAACTCTTCTGGTAGTTTCTTGAACTTGTCTGCCAATCTAGCAGATCTTCTTGGCGTCAAGTCTTGATCTTTATGCTGGGTCTTCTTGGATTTTCCCATTTCTTGAAGAAACTAGGCAGGATAGGATGCTGGATAAGGAAGAAAGTCACCATTTTTGGTGGCAGTTGATAGGGCTTTAAAAGGTGTGCGCTGTGGACATGCTTGCTTACACATAAGCATCTGTTTGATAGTTGAAGCACCCATGGAACTTGTGACTTCTGTCGAAGTAAATGATGTGTTTAGATACCGTTTTATTATTGACTCTGCATAGAAAACAAACTCGACTCGGACGGGTCGAATTTATATTGAAAACTGGTCTGAAAAAAGAAAAAAAAACTCACCTAAAAGATTAAAAATCATATGAAATTAATATTTATAACAAAGCAAATTTTTATATATTTTATTTGGTTGATGAGAGATATTGTAAAGTAAAATGTAGAGATTTTTATTTTATTCTTAATAAATAGAAATTATTGTTTTCATTTTAGTTTATAACAAGTATTATTATTTTTAATTAACTTGAAATGGTAATTTATCTTCATCAAAATGACGTTAAAAAAAAATTGATTATTGTAAAGAAAAAAAATAATCCATTGCTACTGCTAAGAAGATAATATAATTATAATATAATTTACTCAATTATTAAATTATTTCTCTAAATATATTTAATAATAAAATCAATCAATAACATATGAGTAAGATATTTGCACCAATTCAAAGGTCAGATCTAATATGGTTAAAAATGCAATATAATAATTTCAAAACAAATCCATATTTATTGTTATCATTCAATCCCCCAACTTTCATTGTTAAAATCCAATACAAATAAAAAAAACATAAAATAATAACAAGTACAAGCATCATAAAATTATAACTAATAAGATCACCACACAAAAGTTTCAATTTATAATTTTATTATTAAATATTTTTTTAGATCATTTATCTATTTATTAAATAAATCTAAAAAGTAATTTAAGCAAATTAAAAAATATATAAAAAAACAATAAAATTAGCTCAAACAGCACTTTATATTTATAATTTAAGAATCTTTTAGACCTCAGGTATTATAACAAGTTGATGCCCTATAAAACTAAACATGGAAAATCTTGTAATAAAATTTAAGCATAATCTAAAAATTAAATAAAAAATTATGATCATATTGATCACTTTGCGCAACCTAAACATCATGTTGAACTCATCCATATTCCATCAATCTATTTATTCACATAGTCCAAATATGATATATCCAGAACGCATTAGCAGTCGGATTAGAATCATCTTTATCAAAATCTAATATTTTCTTATTATTCTATTTTCTAGTTTTCAGATCTAATGGTGGAAATTAAGTTAATTAAAATCAATTTTCTGATATGAATGTAACAATAAAGATAGATACTATAAAATGTTTAAAGGGTTATGTTTTTTTTGGTAAGTTTGAACCGAAAATGCAGGTGGACCTGAACTGTACTTGTGTCAACCATATCGGTCTCTTTTATACTGGTGGAAATGAATCTTTAGTCAATTTATTAGCATCAAGAGACTTGTATCAACCTGTTACAACTTAAATATATTATTGGCTTCTTTTCTACAGCAGGATGGCTGGTCCTACAAACCATTTTCTTAATCACAGAGGACTTGTATGATTGGTCTAAATGTTGGCTTGAGTAGCTAGCTTGTTAAGGATAATCTCTACAAGCTAGAGAGACTGTTCTTGGACTCTCAACATTATATGTAGTTTTTCTTTTTAATACTCTTGACAATTGACTCTTGTGATCTTTCCACGTTCGGATACTGCCTTGAAATAAAAAGATAGAGATAATGGGATAAAAGTGACATGTCTCACTTTACTTTTCTATAAAAATTCAAATCAAGATTGTCCTGAAAACATGTTTATTTCATGTCTATGTTGCTTTCTTTTCCACCATTCTTTTATGTTTTGTGGAACATGGAAATATTCTGGACGCTTGACTGTGAATCAGGGTTTACATTTCTGAAACCAAAGATGTTGAATCAGCGAATAACCTAAACCCTGCAATTACCTGACAAAATTTCAATGCATTCAAGACAAGCCACTCACAAGTAGCTAAGAGAAAACATGCTTGAAATGGAATAAGGAAGACTCCCGCCCAAGTCGTTTTCGGCAAGAGTTCTGCAATGTGCAAGTATAGAATGAACACTGTTAAACAATAAAATCAAACAGATCGGAGACATTAGAAACAATTGACATGATGGAACATTACAAGCTTGTAAGATTCGGTGGCAACTGATATGGGAGTGAATCATGAATATTGTTGCCATAGCATGTTTGATCGCAGACAAAAATGGAGATTCTTTATTTTCAAAACAGAAATCACCACTTAAAACAGATTGAACAATACTATTATAGATTCAAAGTTTGCAAGCTACACGACTCGATTGACACAATTCCAGAGAAAGTCGAAGAATTCAAAGAAAGTTTGACAGCTACCTGGAAATTGCTTGCTAAGAATTCTTTTGAGTTTTCAAGAAAAAAAAAAGAAAAGAAAGAAAGAAAGAGAATTCTGCCGAGTCCATTATGGCCAACCATGGAATTTCAAGAATCCCTTGATAAACTTCGTTCCAGCTTGATGCAGCTCTGCTAAAACAATTTTTTCTCCAAGATGCTACTGCAAATATTCTATCATATGTATTATCTACTGATAATGTTCACCATACAAGGAAAAAAAGAAGAAAACAATTTAAATCAAAATGGGAGATACAAAGTTACAATGACTATACTAGAAGATTTGGAAAAACAAGTTGGTTAAGGAAAAAAAAGAGGAGCTAAAATTGGCTCTGTGTAGCTATGACTATGAATACATCAAAGTCCTGACCAAAATCATGCAAACCATGGATGATGAAGCCTAGACTTCCCGCTTAGGCCGGTTGCGAGTTCGTGTACGTTGAAGCACAGGCTGCAATTCCTCCTCCAAAGAAATGTCAACAAGATTGTCATCAGCATCCTCATGGTCCTCGCCATCATCACTGTCATCATCCTCTTCATCTGCTTCCTTGATTGCTTGAATAATTTCAAGCTTTGCCACAAAATTGTGAGTCAAGAATCGTCCAAGTACAATCTCATTCTTAACACATAAATATTTAAAAAAAGCATAATAGGATCATTCTTCTCACATTCTAGAGATCTCAAACTGCAACCACTCTCCCACTAAATAAAATTAACCCCGGAAAGAACAAGCAGAAGTAGGAGTAAATAAAAAAATTACCCATTCCCATAAAAGAATACAGCAAAAGATGGACAAAAGAATTGCATGAAATCCAAGTAACTGGCACCCAATAGCCAAAATGAGCAGGTGCTTTAACATTTAGAAACTCATTTCACTTTTGCCACAATTAGAAACAAGTAATCCGCCACAGCTTGAACATTTTAGACATCTCAAATTGCATAATTTTTTTCCCGGTAAAACCTAAAGCAACTTGAGACTCCAAGATCAAAAATCTAGCCTATAAAATCATATATTAGTCGTATAAAATCATAATGGTTAAAAAGGATAATACTTTGCAGGCAGCTAGGAAACTGGCTTGTCTAAATTCACCATTTCACATGCTTGTTCACTAAAATCACACGATGATATCACTTCCCAAGTTACTCAAATCATATAGTGAAATTTTTACCGTTCAAGAACTAGGATGGAAATCTAAAACACTAAAAACTCACTAAAACACGAAACCAAGACAACCCATTTAGCAAAAGACTAAAAATTGAAGTATTTTGTACCTCCTCAAGATAGTCCTGATCAAGCTTATCAGCAATTCTAATAGAAGTAAAGATAGTGGCAGCAAGGAGAGAAAGAGGGAGCAGGAATGCCAGACCGTAGCT